ACACCGCGTGGCGTGTCGCCTACAGCGGGGTGTGTAGTCTACACACCGCGCGGTGTGTCACCTACAGTGGTGTGTGTAGTCTACACACCGCGCGGTGTGTCACCTACAGTGGTGTGTGTAGTCGACACACCGCGTGGCGTGTCGCCTACAGCGGGGTGTGTAGTCTACACACCGCGCGGTGTGTCACCTACAGTGTTGTGTGTAGTCTACACACCGCGTGGCGTGTCACCTACAGTGTTGTGTGTAGTCTACACACCGCGTGGCGTGTCACCTACAGTGTTGTGTGTAGTCTACACACCGCGTGGCGTGTCACCTACAGTGGTGTGTGTAGTTTACACACCGCGTGGTGTGTCACCTACAGTGTTGTGTGTAGTCTACACACCGCGCGGTGTGTCACCTACAGTGTTGTGTGTAGTCTACACACCGCGTGGCGTGTCACCTACAGTGTTGTGTGTAGTCTACACACCGCGTGGCGTGTCACCTACAGTGTTGTGTGTAGTCTACACACCGCGTGGCGTGTCACCTACAGTGGTGTGTGTAGTTTACACACCGCGTGGTGTGTCACCTACAGTGTTGTGTGTAGTCTACACACCGCGTGGCGTGTCACCTACAGTGTTGTGTGTAGTCTACACACCGCGTGGCGTGTCACCTACAGTGTTGTGTGTAGTCTACACACCGCGTGGCGTGTCACCTACAGTGTTGTGTGTAGTCTACACACCGCGTGGCGTGTCACCTACAGTGTTGTGTGTAGTCTACACACCGCGTGGCGTGTCACCTACAGTGTTGTGTGTAGTCTACACACTGCGCGGTGTGTCACCTACAGCGGTGTGTGTAGTCTACACACCGCGTGGCGTGTCACCTACAGTGTTGTGTGTAGTCTACACACCGCGTGGCGTGTCACCTACAGTGTTGTGTGTAGTCTACACACCGCGTGGCGTGTCACCTACAGTGTTGTGTGTAGTCTACACACCGCGTGGCGTGTCACCTACAGTGTTGTGTGTAGTCTACACACCGCGTGGCGTGTCACCTACAGTGTTGTGTGTAGTCTACACACCGCGTGGCGTGTCACCTACAGTGTTGTGTGTAGTCTACACACCGCGTGGCGTGTCACCTACAGTGTTGTGTGTAGTCTACACACCGCGTGGCGTGTCACCTACAGTGGTGTGTGTAGTTTACACACCGCGTGGTGTGTCACCTACAGTGTTGTGTGTAGTCTACACACCGCGCGGTGTGTCACCTACAGTGTTGTGTGTAGTCTACACACCGCGTGGCGTGTCACCTACAGTGTTGTGTGTAGTCTACACACCGCGTGGCGTGTCACCTACAGTGTTGTGTGTAGTCTACACACCGCGTGGCGTGTCACCTACAGTGTTGTGTGTAGTCTACACACCGCGTGGCGTGTCACCTACAGTGGTGTGTGTAGTTTACACACCGCGTGGTGTGTCACCTACAGTGTTGTGTGTAGTCTACACACCGCGTGGTGTGTCACCTACAGTGTTGTGTGTAGTCTACGCACCGCGTGGCGTGTCACCTACATTGTTGTGTGTAGTCTACACACCGCGTGGCGTGTCACCTACAGTGGTGTGTGTAGTTTACACACCGCGTGGTGTGTCACCTACAGTGTTGTGTGTAGTCTACACACCGCGTGGTGTGTCACCTACAGTGTTGTGTGTAGTCTACACACCGCGTGGCGTGTCACCTACAGTGTTGTGTGTAGTCTACACACCGCGTGGCGTGTCACCTACAGTGTTGTGTGTAGTCTACACACCGCGTGGCGTGTCACCTACAGTGTTGTGTGTAGTCTACACACCGCGTGGCGTGTCACCTACAGTGGTGTGTGTAGTTTACACACCGCGTGGTGTGTCACCTACAGTGTTGTGTGTAGTCTACACACCGCGTGGTGTGTCACCTACAGTGTTGTGTGTAGTCTACGCACCGCGTGGCGTGTCACCTACAGTGTTGTGTGTAGTCTACACACCGCGTGGCGTGTCACCTACAGTGGTGTGTGTAGTTTACACACCGCGTGGTGTGTCACCTACAGTGTTGTGTGTAGTCTACACACCGCGTGGTGTGTCACCTACAGTGTTGTGTGTAGTCTACACACCGCGTGGCGTGTCACCTACAGTGTTGTGTGTAGTCTACACACCGCGTGGCGTGTCACCTACAGTGTTGTGTGTAGTCTACACACCGCGTGGTGTGTCACCTACAGTGTTGTGTGTAGTCTACACACCGCGTGGTGTGTCACCTACAGTGTTGTGTGTAGTCTACACACCGCGTGGCGTGTCACCTACAGTTTTGTGTGTAGTCTACACACCGCGTGGCGTGTCACCTACAGTGTTGTGTGTAGTCTACACACCGCGTGGCGTGTCACCTACAGTGGTGTGTGTAGTCTACACACCGCGCGGCGTGTCACCTACAGTGGTGTGTGTAGTCTACACACCGCGTGGCGTGTCACCTACAGTGTTGTGTGTAGTCTACACACCGCGTGGCGTGTCACCTACAGTGTTGTGTGTAGTCTACACACCGCGTGGCGTGTCACCTACAGTGGTGTGTGTAGTCTACACACCGCGTGGCGTGTCACCTACAGTGTTGTGTGTAGTCTACACACCGCGTGGCGTGTCACCTACAGTGTTGTGTGTAGTCTACACGCCGCGTGGTGTGTCACCTACAGTGTTGTGTGTAGTCTACACACCGCGTGGTGTGTCACCTACAGTGTTGTGTGTAGTCTACACCCCGCGTGGCGTGTCACCTACAGTGTTGTGTGTAGTCTACACACCGCGTGGCGTGTCACCTACAGTGTTGTGTGTAGTCTACACACCGCGCGGTGTGTCACCTACAGTGTTGTGTGTAGTCTACACACCGCGCGGTGTGTCACCTACAGTGTTGTGTGTAGTCTACACACCGCGCGGTGTGTCACCTACAGTGTTGTGTGTAGTCTACACACCGCGTGGCGTGTCACCTACAGTGTTGTGTGTAGTCTACACACCGCGCGGTGTGTCACCTACAGTGTTGTGTGTAGTCTACACACCGCGCGGTGTGTCACCTACAGTGTTGTGTGTAGTCTACACACCGCGCGGTGTGTCACCTACAGTGTTGTGTGTAGTCTACACACCGCGTGGCGTGTCACCTACAGTGTTGTGTGTAGTCTACACACCGCGCGGTGTGTCACCTACAGTGTTGTGTGTAGTCTACACACCGCGTGGTGTGTCACCTACAGTGTTGTGTGTAGTCTACACACCGCGCGGTGTGTCACCTACAGTGTTGTGTGTAGTCTACACACCGCGTGGTGTGTCACCTACAGTGTTGTGGCGCAGTCGTTGTACGGAACGGATGCGCGAGTTGCTGCAACCCGGACACGGGCAGGCATCGAGGTCATCGCTGCTGTGCGCACGCGCGGCGGTGGTGGCAGGGCGAGTGTGAGCACTGCGCATGTTCACACGTGTGCGTGCTCACACTCACTGCGCGTGCACACGTGTGCTCACACTCACTGAGCGTGCACACGTGTGCTCACACTCACTGAGCGTGCACACGTGTGCTCACACTCACTGCGCGTGCACACGTGTGCTCACACTCACTGAGCGTGCACACGTGTGCTCACACTCACTGCGCGTGCTCACGTGTGCTCACACTCACTGAGCGTCCACACGTGTGCTCACACTCACTGAGCGTGCACACGTGTGCTCACACTCACTGCGCGTGCACACGTGTGCTCACACTCACTGCGCGTGCACACGTGTGCTCACACTCACTGCGCGTGCACACGTGTGCTCACACTCACTGAGCACACTCACACCGTGTGAGCATGCACATGTGAGCTCACTGAGCATGTTCAAACTCACTGAGTGTGCTCACGTGTGCTCACACTCACTGCGCGTGCACACGTGTGCTCACACTCACTGAGCACACTCACACCGTGTGAGCATGCACATGTGAGCTCACTGAGCATGTTCAAACTCACTGAGTGTGCTCACGTGTGCTCACACTCACACGGGTCCATGGGGAGCGGTAGTGTAGAGGTTAGCGCGCGCTGCGCTACGAACCAGGCGACACGAGTTCGATTCCTGCTCACGGCCAACACCAGTGACGATTATCTGAACCGGTCCTGGGCCTCCCCTAGGTCGACTCAGCCTCAAATTACTACCTTGGTCCGATGTATAAAACATCGACACTGGGGAGACAAAGGCGGCCGGGCGTGGTGCTGGTCACCCACCCCCTCATGTGCCGTGACGGCCTTCATATGTGCTACTCGATAACTTCACTTGCCCCAACAGTCTGTTACAGGCTTCACGGGGGATCTTTGTGGACTGGTCCCAGCCAGTGCCACAAGCGTGTTGCTATATCCATGATCGAGGTTTCTTTGGGTTAGATCGTGCAAATATGTGTCGTTAAACCCGCCACCACCCGACACAGCCAGTTCGTAAGGTTGGTCACGTAAACAGAACGTGGCAGTTTGTTACTCGTGTTGTGTGCTTAATGACGACGCGGAGGGAAGTCTTCATGTAACTTTCACCAGGGGTAGGTGCCCTATACTGGGTCCTTCACGTGGACCCTCGGCTCTGTCCCTAGCTCGGCTAGTTCTATGGCTCTCTCCCTCGAGTCGGATCGGGGGTTCAGCCAACACCGACCGACCAGGGAGAGCAGCACCTTCCACAACTACCGCCGGCTTCTCTCCAGACTCCCCGAGCTCTACCCCTGACTGTCTCTTCAACCGCTCTCCATCCCGGGCTCCCACAATAACCCCGCTTTCGTCACGGGGCCCCCCTTAAGTCCCACGAAGAGACATGACGTCATCGTACCGCACAGCGCGTATGACGTCACGTCCCCATACTACTTCTACACTAGTACAGCACACCAGTGTGTTTGATTGTAAAGTCACAACATTTACAATGGATTGTTTACAATCGATTCTAAATGTTGTGGATTGTTTACAATCGATTGTAGATATTGTGGATTTACTCTCCCAACACACGGGTGTGCTGTACTAGTGTAGTGTCCTTCCTCCTGGCGTGTGTGTGTGCGTGCGGCGCACACTCAGTCGGAAACGAGGTAGTTGCAGGAGGCACCGTCTCTCTTTATTATCTCTCGTTCACACCACCAACTCCGGCCTCCTCTCTCACGACCACGCTGCCGTACGGCCCGTCCCAGACACGACCCCGTCCGTGTTGCACCGACGGCGTCGACCGAGACAGCCAACCGCTGTCCGGCTGCGCGATGATCGGGCGAAGGTGGCGGCGACGACGACGAGACGAGTCCACTCCCGGAACCGGCAGCCTGGAGCTCTCGCTCTCCGCTGCTTTTATTCTCCTCGGCGCGGCTTGACTCCGCCCTGGCCACGCCTCCCTTCTAGAACCCACCAGAGGGTTCCAGGGGCCTCCCCACGAGGTCTACCGTGACCCTTGACCCAGTTCCTCCGCCCTGCCGGCACACACACCGTGTAATGTGCTCAACGGCGTGTGCGCTAAGTGTCCACCGCAGTTGCTGCTGCTGTACAGCAGTCGGCGCTGTGTCACTACACTAGTAAAATAATTGGCATGTTGTTTACGTGACAAACCTTACTAATTGGCTGTGTCGGGTGGTGGTGGGTTTAATGACGCATTTATATATTTACGCGCTATAACCCAAAAAAAACCAGTATTATGGATACTGATCGCAAAATCCTTCGTGTTAAGCGTGTTGGGAGATCTTTGCTTTCCAGCTCGCCGCTTGCGTGACTCAATGAAGTGTTCGCGCGAGGGCGGTATTCAGTTGAAAGAATTATCACGGATTAAAAATATGTATACTTCCTATAAATATAAGTATCTGAGCCATGACCCGCATTAAAGCCGCACGTATTTTGTCCACGCCAAGTTAAATGTGATGTATCTGCACGCTGGACAGTAATTGGGATAATTATTCTTAACTTCTAATTGGGAACTCGGTCTGCATGACCCCTGCGAGGTTGTGTGTGTGTGGGTCAGTGTCTTTATCTCTGCGCGCGTGTTTAGGTGTGTTGGCGTGTGTCCTGCCTAGTGTGTGTGTCTTTGTGTCAATGTGTGTCATTGAATGTGCCTCGTGTGTGTCAGTAGGTGTTGATGTGTCACTGCATGTGTCCCGTGTGTGTCAGTGGGTGTCTTGATGTGTGTGTGTCAGTGGGTGTGTTGATGTGTGTGCTGATGTGTGTTATGTATGCCGATGATTTGGTAATAGCTGCTCATTCAGAGGAGGAGTTAGAGACGCTGCTGCTGAGACTGGAGCGTGCCACTAAGAGGTGGGGCCTTACCATCAGCCCCACCAAAACTAAGCACCTGCCTAGGTATTTTGTACCATCGGACACTCCACCCCCACAACTCCCAATCGGTGATGGGGCAGTAGTGGAGAGAGTGGAGAGTTTCCCATACCTGGGCAGTGTGCTTATGACCGGCTCCAGTTTAACACCAGAGGTCTCACTCCGAATCAGTCGAGCGGCAATATCTTTTCATCGGTTGCGTAACGCTGTGTGGAAGCTACCTGGTCTGTCGCTCCGCACGAAGCTTCAGGTCTTCTTGGCCACAGTCATTCCCTCCCTTTTCTACGCTTGCGAAACGTGGACCCCCCTAATGGAGCATCTTCGCCAGTTAGAAACATTTGGGCTGGCCTGCCTACGATCCATCTTGGGTTTAACCAGGCTGGATTATGTGAGCTCACAAATCCTTGAAAGATCTGGGCAAAGTCCCATCGTGAGCTCCTCCGGCAGGCAAGGCTGCGGTGGATGGGTCATGTAGCCCACATGCCCAGCCACCGCATGCCTAAACAACTTTTGTTTGACCGGATCGAGGGGGCTAAACGGGCGCGGCATGGGCTAGAGAAGAGATGGAGTGATGTGGTACAGGAGGACGTGGAGCTGAGTGGACTTGCCGATGACTGGTACCAGCTGTGTCAAGATCGGCCTCTGTGGAGGAGGCTCGTGAAGGACGCTACTGGGCAGTTGGAGGCAGTCGCCCTCCAACAACAACGGAGGGCGGAGGAGCGATGTTCACAACAACGAGCGGAGCGCCGGGTGGCTAAAGCACAGCAAGTTGGTACAGTAGGGGGCACAGGTGGTGCATCAGCCAGTCAGATCGGTCATCTCAGTCAGTCGACCCGTGGCACCTGGGTCTGCCCCGTGACCTCCTGCCAGCGGGTGTTCCACACTTCACGTGGCCTCAAGGTGCACATGGCCTGGCACAAGCGTCGTGGTGACGTCACCGCCACTTAGTGGCGAATGGCGGTTGTTGTTGCGTGTCAGTGGGTGTGTTGATGTGTGGGTGTGTCAGTGGGTGTGTTGATGTGTCAGTGGGTGTGTCAGTGGGTGTGTTGATGTGTGGGTGTGTCAGTGTGTCAGTGTGAAGCGTAGCGGTTCTCACGCTGCGCTATGAACCCGGCGACCCGCCCAAGTTTGGTCACCACTGGCGACGATTATCTAAACCGGACATGGGCCTCCCCTAGATCGACTCAGCCTCAAATAAGTACCTGGTGTGGTGTAAACATCGCCACTGGGAAGACAAAGGCGGTCGGGCGTGGTACTGGCCACCCACCCCCTCGTGTGCCGTGCCGACCTTCATAGGTGCTCGCTAACAGCACTTGCCCCTACAGTCTGTTACAGGCTACACGGAGTATCTTTGTCGATGTGTGCCATTGCGTGCGTCTCGTGTGTCAGTGGGTATGTCGATGTGCGTCGTTACTCGTATGTGGATGTGTGTCTCGTGTGTCGTTACGTGTGTGTCAATGTGTGCCTGTGTGTGTGGATGTCTCGTGTGTGTCAGTGGGTGTCTCGTATGTCGTTACGTGTGTCAATGTGTGCCATTGCGTGCGTCTCGTGTGTGTCAGTGGGTTTGTCGATGTGTGTCGTTGCGTGCGTCTGGCGTGTGTGTCGGTCACGCCGAGTGGGAGGGAGGGAGGGAGTGATGGGGCAATGTGTCCGTGTGGGTGTCCGTGGCGTGATGAGACGCAGGGCGTGCGCATGTCGCCGTGAAGGTCGCCAGCACTTGTAAAACTTACCTGCTGCACCTACGGCACCTCCTCGACGCGCTCTCTTCACCCGTGCTCATCACGTGCGGCGATGGCGCTGCTGTCATCATGCTCGGCCACGAATCAATCCACCGGCTGGATGAAGGTTTTCCCAAGCCGCAGCCATCCCTGCGTTGTAGTAATTCGCCAGAGCTGCACACGAGCCGATTTCATTACTCCATCTCCTCAGCGTACGTCCTCCTGGCGGACGCAATTTCAATTGTCTGCCACTCCGTCACCATCTGACGCTGCGTGGCCAGCCGGACACGTGGACCGTTAATAATTCGCCATCTAAGGCGTCCGTCTAACGCCCTCAATGAGTGGACACGCTCGGTACATGTGGCAATGTGTTGTGTGTCTGTGTGTCTGTGGGTTGGTGCTGGCCATCCACCACCTCGTGTGCCGTGCCGGCCTTCACAGGTGCTACTCGCTCACAGCACTTGCCCCAACAGTCTGTTACAGGATGCACGGGGAATCTGTATTGTTGTGTCAATGTGTGGTGCGGAGTGGCGGTGTAGCGCTTAGCGCGTTGCGCTACGAACCCGCCCACCAAAGTTTGATTCCCGCTCACGGCCAACACCAGTGACGATTATTTGAACCGGTCCTGGGCCTCGCCTAGGTTGACTCGGCCTCAAATGAGTACCTGGTGCGCGGTGTGTAAACATCTCCACCGGGGAGACAAAGGCGGCCGGGCGTGGTGTTGGCCACCACCTCGGTCCGGCCTTCGTAGGTGTTCACGAACAGCACTTGCCCTTAAAGCCTGTTAAGGGCTATATGGTCGTTGTCCGTGTTGATGATTTGCCATCTCGGCGTCCGTCTAACTGACATCCTCCACGACTGGACAGCGAGATGGGAAATAAATCGTTCTCACCGTTCTCACAGTCGACTCATTCGCACCTTCCCGGCGGGTGCAGCATTTTCATGGCGCTATTCAACGCGGAGATGAGAATCTCAGCCGCTTCGAACCGCGTACAGCCGAGAAAAGTCAGGCCTCATTGGGTAAACGGTGCAGAGCCAAATCACTCGCTCGACAAAGCCGCGTTGGGCACGATTGTCCTCTATTGGGATACATTTCCATAAATGTACAGACGGGCATTTGTCGTTTATGAAAACGCATTTAAGGAAAATAGCACATTCTAAAGACTCGCCACCTTCATTCTTGACTCTTAAGAGGGGTAATGGCCCTTATTCAGAGCGGCTTGAAAGCAGATTGACTTATAGTTGTAGATTACACTTCATAGTAATAAGACGGTGTTAGTGAAGAAGGTGGTGAGTTGTATTTGTTCCTCCGTCTTAATTTTCATTTTGCATTCAAACATTTAATCCGTACTGCAGTCGTGAAAAGAGTGACCACTTTTGTCCCACACTGTGCGAGATATTGGCCTTGTGCATCATCAGGTGACCTCAAACCGCGGAATGCTTTTCCCTGTTGGAATTTGGCAGTTTATCATGAACCAGCGATTGAGGAGCTGTAACTTGGTGACCACTGGATTGGAAAGTTGCATAATCGCGAGCAATGAACGAGGCCAACGTTGCCTCAAGAAATTCAAGTAGCGAGTGGACTCGGGAATGTAACGCGCTGGAACAGGGGTCTCGCGTGGTCCCCGAGTGTGTGGGATTGAGCCCTGGAGTGGACAAACCCAGTGACGATCATGAATGGTTTGTGTGTGCGTTGTCCACTTTGCCATCTCAGCTAAGCCAGTGAAGTTTACACACGTGAAAATATGTCTGGCTCCAATCAATGTGATTTGACTACTGCATGGAACGTCCTGTCTCCCCCCCCCCCCCCCCAATGCTGTGTCAGTCACAGGGTTTGTTTGACCATACTTCTCCACGCTGGGGAGCCCATGGCCGGTCCACACACCACTGGGCACTCATCTCAGCCGCGGCAGGGAATCGGACTGAGGTCGCAGGGATCATCGGGCAGCGCACAAACTGCTGCCCCACTGCTCCCCACACCATCGCTGGCTGCCGTGACCGATTGGCTTGAAGGTGGTGGTGGGGCTGCATCGCTAGTGCAGCTCTAGCAGACAGTGCTGCATAGGGCGCCACGGTGGTGAGATGTTAGTACCTCGCCTGGTATACAAGAGGTCGTGGGTTCGATCCCGACCCTGACGCGTATTTGGAATTTGCATGATTTTTATTCTAGGTTCTCTGGTTTTCCACTCCACATTTAGAAACATGCGTTTTGAGCACTTGGCTGCAATGCATTTCCACACAATAAGCCACTTCGTTGAGCTATCATTTGTCACTAGGTCGCTATTGTTAATAGTTAAACGGTTACTTAATGTGAAAAAGAAAAAACCTTGAATAGAACATTTCAAAACGACGTGATTTGGGCAGCAATTATTATTTCTTATTAAAGGCTCCTGATAAATATTTTATTTCCACGGTATTATTTATACATTTTCTAGGATATTCCACAATGTGAAAATAAAGCTAAAAAAAGCGGCGTTCGACCGATTGGAAGTAATCTGGGGAATGCCGTCATTCCAGAAAAGTCACAGAGTTTTACGGGACCCAAATAGGACGGCAAAGGAAGAGCCTGCTGCGAGCGATCTCCGAGGGCACGAGTGGCATTCACTCGTCCTCTGAAGCCAGCAGCTGGATTTACAGCCCAGACATCGATTTATACTACACTGGTTACTCCGTGCGTACCCTATGAACGAAAGTGAGGCCACAACAACAGCCCCCTAAGGTCCATGGGCTTTTCTGTAAGCAAGACTGCCCCGACACATCGTTGACCACCTTATGTAAGGGGGACCTCGCTGAGAAGAAGAACATTTGCAAGTGGGATGCTGCCACCGTGTTGATAATAGTTTGCACTTGCAATCCAGAGGTCACCGGTTCGATTCGATCTTGAGCAGTAGCGTCTCAAACAGTGGGGCAGATTTCTCAAATCTTACCCCGCCCCTCACCTCTTTCCACCCAGATGTTTAAATGGGTACCCACGTCAGTCGATTGACATATCGTGTAATCGTGGCGCAAACTGGGCACTCCCACTCGGGCCAGCGTGGAAGAATACCTCAAATGCCCTCTACAAGGACCCTCTCGAGCTCCCTCTAGTGGAGGACCTTCGACCAACAGTGGCGTGAGCGAGCAATTCCTGGGCTGTGAACTGTAAGGCGGTGCCCGGGGTTCCAGGATGTTTTTGTGCTGAGAATTTGCCGAGCGCCAATGGCAAATACCAAGCGATCTGTCCGTGCCTAACCCACCCGTCTCGCGACACAAACATCTGTCGCCAACTGTGATTGGAGTTGTCACTTGCCTGGGAGTGAGGCTTGCCAAAGTGGTTTTGCCAAAGTGTTGCCAGAGGCACAATGAATGGCAAATGTAACAAAATCAAACTGGTTTGCCACTGAATTGAGCGATGGGAAGTCCACTTCCAATGGTCTTTCCGTACGAAACAAACTGGTGACTTCTCCACAAGACGGTACTGTTTTGTATGTTTCACCCTTGAGAGATGGAGTGAATCGACCCTGACTGGGATTTGAACTAAACAACTCATCGATTGCAAGCCATGCACTCTACAGCTGCATCACCCAGCCACATATGCAAAATAAAGAAAATTGCTAATACGTGACATTGTTTGTGTCACTTTGTTTAGGTGTGGAAGTGTGAATTTGCCATATGTAAAATTCATTTTTGTTAATTCTCAGAGCTAGAATAAGCCACATGCTATGAGCATCCAAATGTAATATGGTGTTTTATTGTGCGGTCATTGGCCACTTAGCCGAGATCATCAAATCACTAGACTTGTAGAACCTCGGATGCTTGTCAGGATCTCAACGACGCCAGCTCAGCAGATCTGGGTGATCTCGGTCTGGCCCAGACTGTTGGAACGTGAGATCACTCTCCAAGGTCAACGACCTTCACGGACCAACCGATCTTACCAACTTAATGGCTTTGCACTGCGGTGCCTTGCACCACCCCCAGCCCTCCGGCCTTCCTATACATGTTGTGAGAGTCAGCACGGTCACAACGCTCCAAGCCTGGGGCGTGCCATTCAGACTCTGTCTTCTCGACAGACCTGTTCTCCACCTGAAGACGGCTGCTTGCGTTGTGGCCGAAACGTCGTGAGAATTATTTTATTATGTTTTATTTTTATTATTTATTATTTTCCTTCTATGTGACTTTACCGAAAGAACCAAGAAGATGAATCCCTGCAGTCACGAAAGCTTTAAATCGAAATTGAATACTGCAGGCATGTGTGTATGTTGAACTTCTTTCGCACCGTACGCAGCCAACCGTGCTTATCGGAGGTGTGGGGGAAGAAGAACATTCCGAGGTAGATTCGGCCCAGTCGTAAAATGCATGGCAGATTCAAAGGCGTCAGTCTGGTGGCTCGATCGCTCCGGCCGTGGCCTGGCGACACACACCCAGCGCTGCTGCTCAGTCCTCTCATGCGGATTTGGCCCTCGTTTGTCCACCTGACCGACTGACCCCGTGAATGTAGAATGCATTTTCCGGTCACACGACCTCCTGGTTTATTATAAAAGCACCATGGCACGTTTCATTTACATTTTCAATATTAACTCATTGAGGCACGGTTTTGCAACACAGGTGTCCTCATGGACACTTAGTACACATTTGTTTTGCTTGTGACCTGCATTGCACCTCTGACTTGTGCCTGAATATGTTACTCGTAACTAGCTTGTTGAAAACCAATTTAGAGAAAAAAAAACTGTCCAAGTCATTGAGGTACATTCATATTTAGTGTTATTCAAAACTTTAATTTGTTTCAGCTCAACGATATATAAGACTATCCTTGCAGATGTATATTGTAATTTCAATGTTCTTATTTGTAAGTTTTAAAAAAATGTCTTACCATTTAATTATGCTAATATTAAATATGTAATTAGAGGTTGATAAACGCAATGCGGCATATAAAATGCATCGATACTTTTCCACACGGACCACATTAGACCTTCCACTGGGTGTTTATCACTTAGCCAACCACCTTTTAATTAGTTGCTTGATGAGCATTTATAAAAGAGGGAATTCAGGGACAAAGTCATGAATGTAAATTACACGGTATAAAACAGCCCTTTATCATGGGGGTTGCTTAACCGTCCATACTTCACCATGCTGGTCAGTGTGGGCTGGTGAAGGGGGGTAGAACCCAGAACTGATCCGGATATCATACATCGCTGATGTTGGTCATGGCTGGGAATAAAACTCGATTCTCTGTGTCCGAAGCGCTGCTCCACGCACTGCAGAGTAGACCTTTGAAGTGCATTCCACTGAA